TGCAGCTGCAGTTCACGCTGTTTCCACACTCTGCCTGCAGGGGGTGCCCTTTAGCAGTCTGCCTGGAGCCCTCCATGATTTCCTGATGAAGGGCCTCACTCTCCTGGCGCATTCTCCAAAACAGGGTGAGACTCACAGCATTTTGACTTGCTCTGGGGCAGAAGTTATGGGCCTGTGGTGATAGTTATAACTCTCTTAACTGGTACAATGAAAGGCAATGGCTTTCTAGCTTTATTTTTCTAGTATGAAATGGAAAACTAGCTCACATAATTTATAAACCAACAAAATTTTTCCCAGAACATTTGCAGAAATAACCTCTTCTGGCATATTATTACATGTATCTTATCTTCGGGGAGAGAGATTCACAAATATTCAAAAGAATTGAAAGCTGGGTACACCTATGTTCATAACAGCATTATTCACAATAGCCAAAGGGTGGCAGCAACCCAAGTGTCCATCAGCACATGAATGGATAAAACAGTAAGGTAACACACAACAGAACATAGTTCAGTCTTAACAAGGAAGGAAATTCTGACATCCTACAATATGGATTAACCTGAGGACTTTAGGCTGAGAGAAAGACCCAGGTACATGATGCACATCTTTGGCTCTGTGAACCCCATGAGAGTTACCAGCAGAAACGATGCCACAGTTCAGAACCTGAGCTTCAGAGCAGACACACTCTGTGTAAGCCATTTAGACTCCCTCAGCCCCTCCCAGGGTATCTTCTTGGGAGTCGTGCACAAATTCCTAATTATTAATGTACATAGTGAGGGGTCCCATGAGGAGGGGAGCCTCTTCAAAGAAGGGGAGCTCAGTGGAGCTCAGGAGGGGAGAACACAACCAGTCAGACTTCCCAGACAGACAGAGCATGGGCAGTGGAGAATCAGAGGACCTGAGCACCCCGCTGCCATCTGAAAGGGAAGGTGCCAGTGTGGGATGGCTGGAGGCGAAGAGGGCAGGCAGGCAAGGGCCAAACCCCCAGGGCCTTACAGGTCAGGCTAAAAAGTCTGGATTTATTGAGAAGGCAGATACGACCCACAACAAGGATTTCAGGCACTGGGGAAGGTAAGGGGAGAACTACTACAAGTGTAGTGTCAGGTTTACAACTTGGGGAGGTCAGTCAGGAAGCAGGCAGAGAATGGGCCGCAGAGGTGCGGATGAATCAGCAAAACGGGTCCGTGGCTCTAACAATAATCTACGAACAGTTGCGCCTCCACTTATGACTGGGCTCCACACAGTCAACCCATCTTACTTGAAAATACCCTCGGTCAAAAATGCCTTTAGTGAACCTAATCTACCAAACAGCAGAGCCTAGCCCAGCCTTCCTTAAATGTGCACACACTAGCCTACAGCTGGGCAATGATCCTGAGTTTTATCTCAAGAGTAAATTGTCTTTTTCTTCTTACCACAAGCAGGAGACACAGAGAGGCCTTTTGCAGGCACCATGGAGTGTGAAATTGTTACAGGGCAGGGAGAGGGGCAGCCCAGAGCCCCCAAACCTGCCTGCTCTAAATAGGTTCTACCATCCGCCACATCAACACAAAACATGAGACTTTAATGGGAAGGAACTTTAATACAACTAGGAAACAATACAGGAAAGGCAAAGAATTTAGTTTCTAAATCAAGCACCCAAAGTTACCCGTCCCCTCGGGGGTAAAAGTCCAAATGGGATTGGCCCAGAGCAAGGCCCCAAAGCCTGCCACAAGTCTAAAGCATCTTCCCATGGGGAACCATAGAAAAGGATCAGAAACAACCAGACAAGTCTGGAGGGAAAAGAACAAAATCAAAAGCAAGACAAAAACCACCATTGTCACCTCCCCACAGGTCTCTCACCCACATCTGTGTCACCCAGTCCACGACCAAAAGGCAAGTGCAGTTTCTTCATGTGTCTCTCAGCTCCATGTGCCTCCTCCAGGTCTCCTTCTGGCTCTCCATCCAGCTTCCTTCCTTCTTTAGTCTCCTCTGCAGCTTCTTCAATTCCCACTCAGCTCCACCCTCCTTTGGGTGGGCAGGAAAACTGGAACCTCCCCCTTTTCTGGGGACCACCCTGTTATAAAATCACAAAACACATTATCCAAAACCTGCTGGCACCACAGTATTCGTAGAGTATCCTTGGTGATCACGTGATTGACCCAGGGTTGCACTGCCCAGCATCATAAGAGTTGTACCACATGTCACTATTTTGAAAAAATCAAAATTCAAAATTGATAGGATCATTTCTATTGGATGTACATTGCTTTAATACCATCATAAAGTTGAAAAATAGTAAGATGAACCATCATAAATTGGGAACTGTCTGTAGTGATCATGAAAGAAACAGTAACACAGATCTTGATGAGGGCCTGAGTTCAGACAGGTAGGGGGAAGAGGGGTTGGAGGTGGCAGGATGTAGAGATATTTAGAAGACAGAAGACTTGGCAACCTATAGAAATGAATCAGAGTCCAGGATGCTCCCAGGTGCCCAGTTAGCATTGCCAATAGACAAAGGTGCTAGAATAGTTCCTTATGACCTTATATGAGACTTTTTAATTGTTGTAATTACAGTACTTGATGGTTTAAATCTCAGAAATAAAAATAATCACTGTGACTATCAAGAGAGCCACAAATGGTAGATTCTACTCTGTGATCTTAACAAATAAGCATTTAGCCCTCATTGAGCAGCAGGGAAACACTCCTGGCAACTTGTGACAACTCAGGAGGTCTGGGATTCTCTGCGGAGCCACATGAACAATCCTAGACAGAGCCTTCCCCTACATTCAGTACTCAAGAAGAGATCTAACCCGATTGGATATCGCCTTCCAAAACCCTCATGAGCACCAAGGGAACCTGATTATACAACATAGTGGAGATTAGGTGAGATGTTGACTGGTTTCCTGGCTTCTCCCTCTTATCTAGAAGCCTCACACTCTGAGGCTCCAGCGGGAGTACAGGACTGCACAGAGAACTGGAGAAGCAGACACAGGAGTTCTATCTTTGGTGGCTCTCCCACACCCCACACAGAACGCAGACCCCTTTGTGGGCCCAGTGCTCTCACACGCAGGCAGGGCATCTCACCGCTCACATCATTCCTGAGAACTAGTGTCCTCACCCACAAGGCCATGCCAGCCATGATTAAATGGGGTGGCCTGGACTCCTGCCAACGCTTTAGTAGGCCAAAGGTGGAGCCAGGAAGAACTGTTTTCTCAAGGACCTCCCCTCCCTCCAATGTGAGTTTACAATGGGCCCTGGGAAAATGACAGCTGGTGGAAATACAAGTGATTTATTCAGCAGTAAAAACTGTGCCCCAGAGGCACAGGCTATTGCTTTGTAGGATATCAGCCAGTTTTATATCTAAACTTGTACTCTAACCCAGCACTGTTTTTCTATGACTACATAAACCAGTCGTGCAAATTTGTTTTTACCAGAGATTCTGCTAGTTCCCTAGTTAATGGCTGATATAAATCCTTGACACATGCTCCTTTTTTATTTCTCAATATAGACTGATAGCTAATGTCCCACACCCCCAGTTTTCACTTGTGTTATAGTTCACTTGCATTTCTGTGATATATTGTCTCACAATCCACATTGCTGTCCAGCAGGGGACTTTTAAAAAACATTGATATTTCTGGGATATTTCCTGGCTCTGCATTTTCTGACAAGCACATTTCATGGCCTCCTGGGTCCTCCTCTGGGCCTGGCAGAGGGTCAGGGTCTTGACTCAGGTCAGCTTACCAACCACCCCGGGGTAATATGTGAGGAAGGTTTTACAATACCCACTGCCTGTCCTCTCTGGCCTTCAGTCTTGCCCCCACCCACACTATGACCCAGACTGACTGACCCAGCACCAGCAGCAATGGGCGACCAGGACGAAGACTCAGTCAATGGGACTGAGACGCTGGGCGCTGAGTTGAACCAAGACTGACCACTTGCCCATCTGTGGTCTTTGCACAAGTCACCTCACGAGTCTTTCTGGACCTCAGTTTCCGCATTAACAAAATGGGGCTGACCGTCTTCCCTACAGGGTTGCTCAAAGAACCACAGCCGGGAACATCACAGGGAGCCCCAAGTGTCCACCTCAGTAAACACCCCACGGTCCCAGGCTTCTTGGACACGCACCTTGACACCGGTTTAGTGATAGTTTCGGTTCTGGTTCTCCTGGAACGGGCGAGGGGAGAGCCCAAAGGCTCCACCAAGACATAAGAATTCAAAAATATCCACAGATGGGCCTCCCTGATGGCACAAGGGGTTAAATACCGCACTATGGGGCAATCTAAGACCTCGGCAGCATGAGTTCGATCCCTGGCCGGCGTCGGAGCAACCCACGTGGCGAGCAGACCTCTCCTGTCTCCCCACTGCTCCCCTCAGCAGTGTGTTTCAGTAGATCTGCCTGTTCTGCTCCCCACTCTGTCTCTGGTGAATCCCCTCACCCTCCCGCGCATCTGGCCTGTACCCCGGTTCTTGTATAAATAAAAAATACATCTTTAAAAAAAAATATATATATATATATATGTATCTCCACAGATGGCGACTGACGGGGAAAGATGGGCTGCAAACACCTGAGGCACCTGCGGCAGATGTTGACCACACCCTCCACAGCTGGGCCCTCTCGCCTGGAACGCCCGGGCTGGGCCTCCGGAGCTGGAGGTTGGGTCTCGGGAGCACCGCGGGCGGGACCCCGCTCAGGGCGCCCGGAGCCCGGCAGCCCCCGGGTGCGAGGAATTCCGGCGTCCGAGACGCGCCGCCGCCTTCCCGCCGCTCGGGAGGCGCCCGCAGCGCCGCGGGGCCCAGTCAGCGTCGCAGCTGCCAGACACGGGTGCGCCCTGCGGCCGCCAGAGGCCACGCGCCCCGCCCGCCGCGCCGCGCCCCTTGTCCTCTCTGACCTATGGTCCCCAGGCCACGGCCCGGGCCCGCCCCGTTCCGTTTCGGCCTATGGCGTCCCCGCTCCCCCCCGCCTCTCGCCCCCTCCGCGGCCGACCCCACCCTCCGGGGCACGTAGGGCCCGAGGCCCCGCCCACGCGCCGAGACGCTATGGCTGGCGCGGCGGGGCGGCTGGCGCGGCGCTGGAGTTGGGGCGCGTTGCGCAGGTGAGCGCGGGCCCGGGGTCCAAGGTCGCCCGCGGGGCGCCGCCGTCCCGGGCCGTCTTCCCCGCCATGTCGTCCCGGCCGGCCGCGGACTCTCCTCTCAGGGGCCCCGCGGGGGCGGCGCCCGGTGTCCTTCGCTGAGGGGCGCCCTCCTCGGCCCGGCCTCCCGCGGCCGCCCCCGCGGCGCGCGCGGCGTTCGCGAAACGGAGCCCGAGCGTTCGGGCCCTTTGGCGCCGGGTGGGTTCGCTTGTGCGCTTCTTGGGGGAAGGCATCAGTTATGGAGTGTTAGATGAAGGGGTCCAAAGTCTGAAGCCCCAAAACGAGACTGTGCGCTGGGAACGAGCAGCCCCGGGACGTGGTGGCGACTTTCCGGGTGTTGTGTGTCTAGCGGTCGTGCTGTGTCATATAAAAAACTAAGTTTTTTTATATGTTTGCACCAGGTTTTGTGGGACCCGGCACTTTAAGGCATTAACGTTTTTCCTTTTGTTTTCTGCTTGGGACTGGCCAAGGGCGAAATTCACGTAAGAGGCAGATTTTCCACTGGATAATTTAATCGAAAAGTTTTTGAAAGACTGAAAATTGTCGAATTACACACTGGTCATTTCAAGATTTGCTGTAGCGTTCATCATGCTCTGAAATTTGCCTGAGTGCAGTAGCGGTGATATATTTATTAGATTTAGGCTTTATTTCTAACTATTTCAATCTCGGATGCCTTTAAACGTTATGATTCAGGGTCGTCGTCGTGAACACTCATTTTTTCCTTGTGGCTTCAGTTGAACTTTCCCTGCCCCCTCTGCTTACTGTGTGTGCTTAAAAACTTAGCTGGACCTTGTTTCTGCTCTGTTGCTGCCTGGCTGGTTTAACATCCTGTGGGAGCAGGGGCTATTCTGCTCAGCCCAACTTCAAGGCGTCCACAGCAGGTACATTTCCCGGTCCTGCCCTCACCCCCCAGCACCCCCCCCCCCGCTCCCGGCCCCCATTGGTCCCAATCCCAAGAAAGAAGGGGTTCTCTGTCTGTAAGCCCTGCAACTGCTCACCTGTCCTTTTGAGCACTTCCTGTATCTTCACCCCTTCTCCCACCTGTGTGGAATGTTGGGGCACACGTTTTGCTGAGTAGAGAGCATAGAATTGACTGTTAAGAATTTATACTTGGATCAATTTGCAGCAACATGGATGGCACTGGAAGGGATCATGCTCAGCGAAATAAGCCAAAAGAAAAAGAAAAATACCGGATGGTCTCACTCATAGCAGGAATCTAGAAAACTTAAATAAGGGACCAGGAAAATGAATATAAGAAAGTGAAAATCAAAATCAACAAAAAACTATGAACCAGAGACACTTTTTGGGGGGTGGGGGGCGGGAGGGGAAGGATTGGGGTCAGAATGGGGCGTTTGCAATTGTATGGGGGAATATAAAAATAAAATTTAATATTTAAAAAAAAAAAAAAAAAAAAAGAATTTATACTTGGGGTTAAGCAACACACTAGGAAGCAATGTGCAGCCTCTGCAGCATGAGTTCCATCCCCGGCAGGCCAGGGAACTACCCACATGGCACAGCAGACTTCTCCTGTCTTACCTGCTGCTCCCCTCACCAGTGTTTTCTGTCGATCTGGCTGTTCTGCTCCCCACTCTGTCTCTGGTGAATCCTCTCACCCCCCGCATCTCTGGCCTGTATCCCAGCTCTTGTATGCATAATAAATAAATCTTAAAAAAAAAAAAACTTAAAAAAAAAAGAATTTATACTTTGTTAATAGGTGAATGCTAAGGCTGTTCTGGACCTTGAGGCACAATTGACTTAAATTCTTTCTGTGCATTTCACTCCCTTAGTCTCTATCTCATGCATATTTCTAACTGTGCTTTTCAAGCAGATAGAAGAATTTTGCTTCTGGCAAAATTTGCACCTGCTTTTATCTGTATTTGAGTTGCTCCAAATACCATGTTGGATTGTCATTGGAAAATTGCTCCAGTTGTCCTCTGCTGTTTTCTGGGAATCATCTTGGCAACCTCAAACCATTTGCAGCCAGCTTGGGGGGAGCAACAGGGCAAGTTTAGAGAAGATATTTAGAGAGGAACACAGCATTTGGTTGTGCAAGGACGGAACAGTGACAAACCAGTCTGCCTGTTTGCAGTCCTGTGCAGGTCACCTGTTCCCAGGCATTCCCGCTGCACATGAGTGGAACAGCAATGAGAGCCAGTCAGGTGGACTTTGAAAATGCAATGAATCAGGTGAAGCTTTTAAAGAAAGATCCAGGAAATGAAGTGAAGCTAAAACTCTATGCACTCTATAAGCAGGTAAGTGTCTGAGGCCTAATAGAATTTAAAGACCTTTTGAGCAGATGGCTTCTCAAATAGTTATGCTGGGTGCTTAAAATCCGACTTGAATATTTTTAGGTTTGTGTTGCTGCCTTTCCTCTGAAGTGTCTCCAGGAGCATTTCGGTACATTAGACTTTGAAATACACTTGTCTCCCCTTTCTCAAAAGCGCCTTCTGCCACGTCTTCAGGAGCTGTGTGACACAGCTGTGTATTTATCATGTCAGTGCTACTTCACTATGTGTGTTATTGTGGGCTTTGTGTGTTACTTGGTATGACAGGTAGGAATAGTCTGTTCATGCCCAGAAATGTTTCTGTATAAATGAAAGGTAATTATCTTTTTGCTTTATACCATTTTGGCTTATGAAAGTTTTCAGAGGAACACCACTTTTGGATAAAAGGGGAAACCTGTACTGCTAAGACAAAAAAGTAATCCCCCAGGATCACTCCAGAGTAAAAGATTTAAAAGATATCCCAACCAAATATGTAGAACTTGCTGAGTGCTGATTAGAATAAATGGAGACTTTTTCAGACAATTGGGGAAATTTGGACATGGAATATTGGATGATCCCAAGGAGGAGTTAGTGCTGACAGTGTCATGTTTTCATAAGAAAATGTTGATTTTTCTTAGCAACAATGCGTACTAAATATGCTGAGGCAAACTAGAATGGTGTTTGGGAATCACTAAGATAATTGAACAAAAAAAGAAGAGGATGGGTGAAGCAACAATGGCCAAAAAAAAAAAGTTGTTAATCATGGCTGATGAGTACGGAAAATCCTTTATATTAGTCTGCTTTTGCTATGTCTGAAAATTTTTTGTAACAAAAATTTTAAAACTTAAATTTTAAACTTCCAACGTCCATAAATTTCCCTTGTGAGGTCAGTTCTTCTGGGCTCCTGTGTGCTTTCTCTCTATTCCTGTGATTGGTATGAGTCTCTTACTGTCGTGTGGGTGTGGAGAGAGTTAAGAATTTAACTTTGCCCATAAAAAAGGCCTGACCTTTGCTCTGATCTCTAGGCCTGTGAACTACCAAGCGCCATAGAAGTGTTATTGTTTACCCAAGTAGTCTGGTGGTGTGATTTAGAGTGGGACTGGCCCAGCAGAGTCATTCGGTGACCTGGGGTGGGGCCTCTCGCTTCCACAATCAGTCATACCTGCAGGATGGAGCCCCTGATGAACACCGCGGCTTGAGTGAGCTCCCCTGGTGGACCCATCCTGTGTGTGTGTTCAGTCAGTTCTGAGGATATGGGTTGTCCTGACTGATGGAGGGGATAGTAGGGGGTACTTCCCCAGACTCCCCAGCATGTGTCTCCTCCTCACTGATGTTAAGTTGTATCCTTTTCCCAATAAACCTTAACTACTATGAGTGTAATAGTGCCCAGGGTGCCCTGCAAGTCATTCTAGCAGATTATTGAACCTGAGGATGGGCTCAGGAGTCCCTACCTTTGCACCTGGCATCAGAAGTAGGGGAAATCTTGGGCCTCCCCTGATGGCGCAAGCAGTTAAGCACCGCACTGTGAAGCTGTCCGCAGCCTCTGCAGCGCAGGTTCAATCCCCGGCCAGCCAGGGAGAAACCCACATGGTGCAGCAGACCTTTCCTGCCTCGCCCACTGATCCCCTCAGCAGTGTGTTTCATCATTCTGCCTGTTCTGTTCCCTGCTCTGTCTCTGGTGAATCCTCTCACCCTCCCGCATATCTGGCCTGTACCCTGGTACTTGTATAAAAAAAAAATCTTAAAAAAAATTTTTTTGAATAGGGTTATTAAAAGTGGAGGGTTTTTTTTTAATTTTTTTTAATTTTTTTTTTTTTAAGATTTATTTATCTATGCATACAAGAGCTAGGGCACAGGTCAAAGGTGTGTGGGGGGAGGTGAGAGGATTCACCAGAGACAGAGTGGGAAACAGAACAGGCAGATTGACCAAAATACACCGCTGAGGGGAGGAGGGGTGAGTCAGGAGAGGTCTGCTGTGCCATATGGGTTGCTCCCCGGCTGGCCAGTAATCGAACTCATGCTGCAGTGGCTGCGGATTGCTTCATAGATTGCATCTTAACCCTTGCGCCACCAGGGAGGCTCTAAGTGGAGTTTTAAATTGCCATTTCTGAAAAGCAGCCGAGTAGGATATTTTATTCATCTCAAAACACTCAGTCTACCCGAAACAAACAAAATTTAGGTGCTTTTTGCTTTCTGCTTGCATGTTCTTCAGTTATATTTTTGAAGGGCCAGTGGCTCTGACCCTCCCTACGACTGCTTCCCAGCAACAGTTTTGTTACTCCATTACTGAAAATTCCCCACTGAATGAGTGGGGCTGTTTTAAACCTTTGACTGGGCTTTCAGCATTTATTGTGAGTTTCCAAATGTTTCTTGAATATTTCAGTTGTGTATTAAATATGTGATCACCCATAGAAAACTTCTGAACTAAGTACTTCTGAAAGTACTTGTTACCTTGCTCCTATTTGACTTGCTGTTCTCCTAAAATGAGTCAGGTGCTTCTCCTTGTCAAGCCATATAAATGGAGAGCTCCGGGATTTTGACTTTCCCCAAAACACTTCTCTTGCTTCATTTTCACATTCAGGCAGTAAAAAATATAGGGACTGATAGCACATTTTGTCTCCAGGCTTTTTTCCAGTTGTTTGTGCATGTTTTGGCAGTAACCTCAGAGAGGAAAGTTCACATCAATTTTTGTACCTTGTCCAAGTATTTGGTGAAGGGCAGACATGGTCATCTAGTTGTGCATTTATTTATGGTTCCTTTTTGCATGAGTATCTGACCACAGCCGCCCCTCTCCTTTCCACAGGCCATGGAAGGCCCTTGTAATGCGCCCAAGCCTGGTGTGTTCGACTTTGTCAATAAGGCCAAATGGGATGCATGGAATGGCCTTGGCAGCCTGCCCAAGGTAAGTCTACTTGTTACCTTGCTCCTATTTGACTTGCTGTTCTCCTAAAATGAGTTAGGTGCTTCTCCTTGTCAAGCCGTTATAGACGGAGAGGTCCGGGATCTTGACATACCTCTATTGAACCAGAACGGCCATTCTTTCTTCATTGCAAGATGCTATGTATCAGCCTCGTAAGTTTCTCAAATACCTATTTGCTGACCATGGGCTGAAACTAGTTGTCATCTTCTCTTTAGGAAACTGCCAGGCAGAACTATGTGGATTTGGTGTCCAGTTTGAGCTCATCTGAGTCCTCTAGCCAGGTAAAACCTGGCGCGGAGAGTAAGCAAGGGGCATATGAATTCCTGGTGGTAACCTCTGAGGACGGCATCACGAAGATAATGTTGAACCGGCCGGCCAAGAAGAACGCTATCAGCACCAAGGTGACTCTTCTTGTACGGGGAGTTTGTCTTCTTTCCTTGTCCTCCTCTGTCCCTCTCAAAAACTGGCGTTTTAGCATTATTCCTGTTTTTGTGCTATCTCTGATTTGATCTGTGCGGGAAGATAAGTAATTGCAGCTCCTTCTTACAACAGATTTGGGCTTTCATTGTTTAGAAGATGTGAGCCAGAGGGGCTGTGGCTTTCCTGATGAGGGAAGCACAAATAAATGAATGTAAATGAGGCATACGTAAGAACACATTTAGATAGAGGTGTATTCCCAGCCTCCCACCTCCGAGCATGCCTGGGCCCTGGTCCCCAAAGTATCTTCACATGGCTTATACTTGAGAATGACTGTTCTCCTTGCATGGAGCTTTATTTTGTATAAGTAGAAGTAGAAAGAAGTGCATCTTAAAGAGATTAGAGATTAAGCAGAGCAGAGCTGTTTCACAAGGACAACTGTAGACTTTGGCTCTGTCATTGAACGAGAACAATAATAAAAAATAACCACTTCAGCTCTTACCCCTGCAAAAAAATTATAGGGAATTAACTGGATGCTTGGTGCTGAACTGGGAGCAAAATTTGAGAGAAACCCTCTTCCATTGGGTCTGTTATTTACATTATAGCAGAAAGTGCATCTAACTTACAATAGCCTTAAGGCAGTTGGACACGTGCCACTTAATAAATAAAGCAGTTGATGCTCAAAATTTTATTTTCATTTTCCCACATTGAAATCTCAGTAAGGTAGAAATCGCACCAGTTTTACATGCACAGGAGTTATAGTGGCCACACAACCAAGATTTTCAGAGATGTTGCTGATTTAAAATACTGCCCTTGGATACCGTCACCGTGTCCTGGAAATTCCCGCCTTTTAGCTCAGGTCATGAATACCTCCCAGCCTGCCTGGGCACCTAGGCTCTCTCTTAAGGTCCAAACTGAACCATTGTTTCATGGGACACTGTCACTGATCACCTCTCATTCACTTTCCTTGGATAAGTCTCAGCGCCTCCTCTGAGCTTCCTGCTACTTTGTACTTGCCACTTATTTTAGAGCTTCCCCTCTATGAATGCCAAGAGCTCAGTGCCTCTTTGGTTTACTCTTGGGTAAAAGTGGGTATGTCCCCCCATCAGAACACGTAGTAGGGACACAGCACACTCCAACTAATTGAAAAAGAATGAAAATCTGCTCGGGTGGCATAGCAACCCTTCTGGTGGTGTCAACACAAACAGCCCAGATGTTTGGCACTTAGCAGAGAATGGCCTCCCAGGCTGTCACGCAGTGGGTCTGCCAGGTGGTGGTGGCCACATTCAGAGCCTGTCCTGTTCCTCTCTTCCTCCCCGTAGATGTATCAGGAAATTATGCTTGCACTTCAGGCCGCTGGCAAGGATGACTCAGCCTTAACCGTGTTAACAGGTAAGACATTTTCTTGGACCATTTAATGAAATATCTGTCTTGGGGGGCTCCCTGCTTGATAGGAAGTTGAGTAAAAAGCTCTAAATCTTTGCCAGGACTGAAGTACTCTTTATTCTTAAATATGTAGCAAATATGATAGACACAGGATTGACACCTTTATCATGTGAAAAGCAGATACAAATTGGTGAGAAAATACTAAATCAGTGGTACATATCTGAAAGGTATTTAATATTATATGATGTTGCTTAAAAAAACAAGTATAGGACTTCCCTTGTGGTGCAAGGGGTTAAGACACAGCACTACGAAGCTATCCACAGCCACTTCAGCACTGAGTTGGATTCCCAGCCAGGGAGCTACCCACATGGTGCAGCAGACCTCTCCTGTTTCCCCCGCTGCTCCCCTCAGCAGTGTATTTCAGTAGATCTACCTGTTCTACTCCCTACTCTTGTCTCTGGTGAATCCTTTCACCCCTGACACCTCTGGCCTGTACCCCAGTTCTTGTATGCATAAATAAATAAATCTTTTTTAAAAAATGGAGAACTAGGTGCCTAGGTGCAGAGGGTGATGTGATCACGCAGATCTGAAGAGCAGTCAAGCTGTCCCCCTAAATAAAATACAGTACTGTAAACCCAAAAAAAGTTTCTAAGATCTGTTAGATACAGTGGTGAATAAAAATGAATTGACAATTTACATGAGAAAGTCCAAGTAGAAGACAATTTAAAAAAAATGCATTTCATTAATAATCACAGATACATTGATGAGATTCTATTAGAATGATGAGATTCTATTTTGTCCTCTAAACTTGCAAAGTTTTTAATTATAACCAGTTTTGACAAGGTTAACGTAGAAGTGTCTCATATCTTGCTGATAGCAGTATAAACAGCTATAAGAAGTATAACTAGGGCCTCCCTGGTGGCGCAAGGGGTTAAGCACAGCACTATGAAGTTATCGGGAAGCCTCTGCAGCACAAGTTCGATCCCCAGCCAGCCAGGGAGCAAGCCATATCGCACAGAAGACACTTCTGACTTGCCCACTGCTCTCCTCAGCAGTGATTTTCAGCCAGTCTGCCTATTCTGCTCTCCACTTTATCTCTGGTGAATCCTCTCACCTCCCCGCACCTATGGCCTGTACCCCAGTTCTTGTATGCATAAATAAATAAATCTTTAAAAATAAAGAAGTGTAACTAGGTAAGGAATAGGGCATTTTGCAGTATATAAAATGTTCATATCTTTTGGTACAGGAATCCTACTTCTGGGAATTTTTTTAGGAAGATTATCTAAGAAAAGGGGAGTTGTTAGGCAGGTTTTTGCAGCATTACATATAGTTGTGAAGACATTCTAACATTGCCATGATAGAATAATAAAACAAATCATAGACTATCCACTTTATTATATAGTGCACAAGTATTAAAAATTGTAATTGTAAAAACCAACAATATTGAAAATGTTTAATATATATTTTTTAACTCTAAAAATTTTATTAGTATTATGGTTATAACTGGAAAATATTGTGGATAGCTATGGACCTAGGTTGATGAGAACATGAAAAATGAAAGTCATTGGATTTGGAAGGGATGCCGTATGTGGTGGTTAAGGCTAAGGCTTAGGACTCAGATCAACTTGAGTTAAAATCCTGACTTCATTTCTTATTAACCGTGAGCAACCTCTGCTTCCCATATGGACAAGACAGTGCTTACTAATCCCATTGAATGGTTGGGAGGACGACATGATGTAGTGCAGGTGAGAGGCAAGGCGGGTACTTGATGGATGTCAGCTTTTACTCTTGGCATTTCCCAATTTTCTCCTTGTAATCAGTTTCTAGTATCATACCATCGTGGTCAAAAAAGATACTTGCTATGACTTCAGTCTTCTTTATTAAGACTTGTTTTGTGACCTAAGGTATGACCCATCCTGGAGAATGTGCTATGCATACTTGAGAAGATTGTATATTCTATTGCTTTCAGATGGAATGTTCTGGATATAGAACATTAAGTCTACCTGGTCTAATGTATTGCTTAAGGCCAATGTTTTCATATTGATTTGCTGTCTAGATGTTCTACCCATTGACCACGAATGGTATATTCAAGTCCCTCACTGTTATTTCTCCTTTTAGGTCTATTAATGCATACTTTATATACTTAGACGCTCCTATGTTGAATGAATATTTACAAATGTTTGTCTCTTGTGGATTGACCCCTTTACCATCCAGTACCCTACTTTGTCTCTTATTACAGACTTTGTTTTAAAGTCTATTTTTTCTGAAATAACTAGAGCTATCCCAGTTTGGGTTTTTTGGTTTTTTTTGTTTTTTTTTTTTTTGGGGGGCGGGGGCTTTCATTTACATGGAATATCTTTTTTCAATCCTTCACTTTCACTCTTTACATCTGAAGCAAATATGTTATAGGCAGCATAAAGGATGATCTTGGTTTTTATCCACTGAGTCTCTCTCTCTGTCTTTTGATTGGATAATTTAGTCCATTCACATTCAGAGTAATTATCTATAGTGTGTACTTATGGCCATTTTATTACTTGTTTTCTGGCTGTTTTTTAAACTCCATACTAACTTTATAAATGATTAATCCACTTTACTGTATTTTTACAGTGAGATTTATTCTTTCTTGTTGCTAATTAGCACCTTTTCTATTCAGTTTAAAGAAGTCCCTTTATCATTTCTTCTTAGGCTGGTTTAGCGATGATGAACTTCTTTAACTTTTGCTTCTCTGGAAAAGTCTATCCTTCAATTCCAAAGCTTACTTTCTCACAACAACCCTTTGAGGTATTTACAATGATCAAAACCCATTAAACTAAGTTTAAAAACTGGCCAGCTTATTGTATGTAAATAAATACTTTAAAGCAACACACCTTCAGTGGCTCTTACAATGAAACTAACAGCTCAACAAAATCCCACCATCTGTCCTGCCCGTGCTCAGTCTACAGCTTGTCCCGCTGACTTTTTCTGCTTGGATGCAGTGACACTTCTTTCAGCCCATCACAGACACCAGCACCTGTGTGCATGCTCTTCCCTCTGCGAGAACCTTCTTCCCAGCCCTCTTTTTCTAGCTCACCTTACCTGCCCTGCAGATCTCATTTCAGTTGTACCCTCCTTGGGAAGAAGCTCTGATTAAAACCCCTTTCATTCTCATATTATCACAGACCTGTCTTGGATCATTGTTGCATTTATTTGTGTGTATTTAGATCAATGTCAAGCATATTTGTCAGCCTGTAAATGAGGGCAGGAACTATACATTTTTCCAGTGCTTGCCATAGAGCCTGGCACATAGCAAATATTCGGTAATCATAGAGTGAATACACATTCACCTGTTCCATTGATATTATTTACAGGAAATGGTGATTATTACAGTAGTGGAAATGATCTGAGTAATTTCACCGACATTCCCCCTGGTGGAGTAGAACAGAAAGCTAAAGATAGTGCCATTTTACTGAGGTAAGTGGGACATTGTTCTGATACCAGAGGGCTCTTCCCTAGTCATCAAAGTGGTGTTGAGTTGAGCAAAAGTGAAATAAAAAGGTCTATGGGGCCTCCCTGGTGGCTCAAGGGGTTAAGTCTCAGCACTTTGAAGCTATCCGTAGTACAAGTTCTATCCCCAGCCAGGGAGGTGACCCACCCATGGAGCAGCAGACCTCTCCTGTCTCCCCACTGCTCCCCTCAGCAGTGTATTTCAGTGGATCTGCCTGTTCTGATCCCCACTCTGTCTCTGGTGAATCCTCTCACCCCCGCAACTCTAGCCTGTACCCCAGCTCTTCTGTGCATAAATAAAATAAATCTTTTAAATAAATAAAATACTCCTATGGCAGTGTAATAGGTGTGAATTTGGACAGTGTTTTTCTCCAAACTGTATCAGTAGGTGGACACTCACTGTATTACTTTAATTTCTTTTACCTGCTCCTCTGCGTGAGATGTAAATGGAAGGCTAAGAGGAGACTGTAGGGTAAGAAAATCCTCTCCTGTTGAGGCAGAGGAGGTCAGCAAAGTCTCCTCCAGCAGAGGAATGCTTGGCTTCCTCAGTGGCTGGTGATAGGAGACTTGAAGCTATCTCATAAACATGGAGACTGAAGGTCCCACTTCTTTTCGTTTATCTGCTGGGTCTCTAATTCCCACTGAGCTGTGACACGCAGCATCTTAATCCCTCAGTGTCACTGGACTGTTCAGAACAGAGCCAGATCTGAACAGAGTCAAACTACAGGACTCCCTGTGGCTCCTCCCAAGTGCCATAGAGAGCTGACTCTCATCTGTTATGGGATTACCTTTGGAATAGGAAATGAATCATTAACACTTATATTTAAGGGGGCAGGTGGAGCAGCCAGAGGGTGGGAGGGTGTGCAGACACCCTAGCCAAGACCAGAGTGCATTATTTCTACTTGCCTGCTCAGCCATGTGTGCTTTTTTATTTCCATTTCTGCAGGGACTTTGTAAGCTGCTTTATAGATTTTCCTAAGCCTCTGATTGCCGTGGTCAATGGGCCAGCAGTGGGAATCTCCGTCACTCTTCTTGGGTTATTTGATATTGTGTATGCATCTGACAGGGTAAGTCAGCCCCCCCAAAATTATCAAGTTGTGCAAGTGAAAGTGAGATCTTTTGAGTTCTCCTTTGCAATTCTTTGTTTCCTTTACTACTGTAAATGGATTACCTATGGCTTATGTTACAATGGGTAAATTTAAATTTTTCCCAAAGAATTTGTCTAACTAATTTGACTCATTTTATATTTTCTTCATTATTAGCTTGATTTTCCTAAACACCAGTATGGTTCAAACTTTGTCCTAAGTCTTTTGGGTCTATAGTCTCAGCAGATGATACACCATTTATTCAGTTTTCACATTAAAATAGTCAGGAGACCTTGAAATCTTGTTATCAGGAGGAAAAATAGCATCTTTGCTGGTGCAGTTGATTGTTTGATACTTTTTATCAAGTAAATGAATTCTAGCTTTGAAAATTTTAGAATGAAGTTAGCTACTCTCACTCCTTCCTTTGCAGATAAGAAAACTGAAGTTCAGGGAGGTTATTTGCACAACTCAGTTCACCCTGGTGTTCACCACTGAGAGAGATAGAGTGTAGTTATTATTCTTTTTTTTTTTAAGATTTATTTTTGTGTATTTATGCAAGCACTGGGTACAGTCAGAAGCGGGGAGGGTGAGAGAATTCACCAGAGCCAGAGCGGGGAGCAGAGCAGGCAGAAGGACCGAAGTACACTGCTGAGGGGAGCAGCGGGCGGCAGGAGAGGTTTGCGTGCCATGTGGGACCCTCCTCCCGTGGCCGGGGAGCAGCCGGGGATCAAACCGGCGCTGCAGAGGCTGCGGGCAGCTTCGCAACCCAGCGCTCAACCGCTGCGCCACCGGGAGGCCCTGTAGTTATTATTCTTAATGGAGTAGTAACAGATGTCATAGTAGAAAATAAAATCTTGAGAAATAAGGAAAAGTTAAAAATCACTCCTTAGATCACCACTCAGAGAAGACCAGGCTTACCACTGGGTTAACTGTCTTACCACTTAGTGATAACAAGCTAACCACTAGTGATTTAACTTTTCTAATTTAACCAACCCCTGGCTAGTCGGACCCTAAGGCAATTTCTGATCTTTGTCTTTAAAAGCAAAGATGTGCTGACCATTTCTCTTAAACCTTTGTACCCTGGAACTTTTACTGTAGAGCTAATAGCCACCTCTAGGGTTATCAGATTTTCCAGTAGTGGTAAAGTTTGATGATCTACAAGTTTGTGACAAACACTTGCATTTTACAACTGAAGAGAATCCTGATTTTGTTCAGAGGTATTTCCCTACTGATAGGATCATATTGAGGGTTCTTGACTTGCTGGTTCATCTTGTACTGGATTTCATTTCACCAGGTTGAGCATGTTGGTAGATCTAATTCTTTTTTTTTTTTTTTTTTTTTTTTTTTTTT